ATATCCCCTTCGGGCACTGCGTTGTGAAAGGCAAATTGCCATATTGATTTCATATCATAAAAAATCTCGATTTCATGTTCTATAATGATTGCTAAAAATATTTATTATCCTAAGACTTAAGAATTTTACGGGTTCAAGTCCACTTAGTATTACAGAATTTTTTATTTTAATTGACAAAATGCTATTGAACATATATTTGGGTAAACAATATCATATTTTAATAAGAAAAACAAATACTGAATTTGAATACACACACACAATTTTTTATTTTAGTTTTAATTTTAACCTGTTTTTAAATAGTAATTTGTAAAAAATATTAGATAGGTATCAATTTGGTTAGTTTTTAAAAATATATTTTTTCTGAATATCTTTCTGATGTTATATTCAAAATTATGAATATAAATATTTATATCTTATTCAATTTTTGTATTAATAACTGGTTGCTTTTTTGCTAGATTATGTACTTCTTTAAAGCACATGGCCTGGAAAAATGTATTAAAACAAATTTGCTTTTATGATATTGGCTTCGTGGATTATTTTTTCTTTGTAATATGTTATTTTTGTGCAAAATTAGTCAATTGAGCCCAATTACAATACAATAACAAATACAATAACATTTGATTCTAAAATTTATCTCCTATATTATGGATAATCAGATTTTAAATAAAATTGTCGTAAATAATTTATATAAGTTGACTTTTGTATGTATTATTTGAATATAATTGATAAATCATAAATCAATGCCTGTAGTAGATTGATTTATCCAATGATAATCCAATGATGTAAACAATTATTATTATTCTAGTCATGGTTTATTATTATTATTAGAATTATGTACCAAAGATCACGTAAAAAATTATTATGATATATTTTCTAGTCTGTTTGCTGACTAGTTTGCATAATAATCTATGGTTAAAAATATTTCGTATAGTTTATAGTTAAACAAGTATATTTTAATTTTAGGTATAGTTTAATGAGATAACTAGTTGAAAGTGGAATTTTGACTTAAGGCAAGTTGCAAAAACTTCCCGATAGATGTGATAATTGACTTATCAACCGAAATTGACATTTAGATATTTGGATAAAATTTTAAACTGATTCTTTCGAGTGGTTTTAAAATTTTTAAAACTGATAAAGAATTTGCGGCTAAAATGTGAACGACATTTTTTTTCTTATCTGCTAACTACAAAAAAGCGGCTCAGCCGATTGAAAAGGAAAACCCACAAACGCGGGTACTTATCAAGTTTCTACGAATGGTTTTTAAATTTTTGAAATCCAGCCAGCAGTTTTTGCGAAAATGTCGATGAAAGGTCTAATTTTAAAGGTCAAAGAAACGCTGCTCATTTTTTCAAACTTTGATTTTAGTGCCGTAATATTTTAGTATGATCTATAAGACCATGATATCTATCGCCAAAGAAAGTTTCATAAAAATAGTCGATTTTTTTTAACACTATTTTGAGAAAACCGTCCGGCTGATTTTAACCAAAAACTGATCAGCACGATTCCCAAAAAATATCTTTCAAGCTCTTTTTGAATGTTTAAAATCGATTAATAACTGCCTGCTAAAACGTGGATGAATTTTTTTTCACTTTTTTGCTATTTACAAAGAAACGGAAGGGCTTATCTACGTTCTTATCGAGTAATATCAAATCGCTATGGAATTTTTGAAATCGGCTTAGCTTAATTTTGAAAAATGATCAAGAATCGGCTCACATACACACACGCGTACTTTTTATAAATTTGGTCTCATTCGATTTAGAATGGCTTGAAACGTCGAGAAAATATCTGATTTTTTGATGAAACATAAACTCCTTATGGAAGTTAAAAATTAAAAAAATATTGATTTTATATACCATATGTTAAAACTGGCACGTATTGCTTTTTCAACATTGGAATATATTCAAGAAAATCAAATATCTTTTATTTATTGCAATTAAGAAAATATAATAATTAATGACAATACTAATTAAATTTATAAAGTTCAAATTTGCTTACCTGTACTACCATCAAAAATATAGCTTGAAAAATAAAAAAACAAGAAATTGATTCATGAATTCAAAATATATATTTTAATTTGGAACACAACTTGCACGCGAAAATATAATTTCAATTGATATATTAAAAATAATGAATGTTTAAAATTTAAAACACTTATTTTTTATTGTATATTTTTATTTCAATCCATATGTTTACCTGTCGATGATTTGAAAATAACTGAAAATAATAGGCGCGGAAAATGTTTTTATCCTGAGAAGGATAAGAGTCTCAGATTGCATGCGCGGCATATTTTTAGTCATTGCAACCATAATATATAATGACTAACATATACACATAATATGTATTTATATTTGTGAATATCAGGACAAATAATTTTATATCTGATTGTGAGCAATTAAGATTTTTATACAAAAAAGTTTTCTATGAGAAGATTTTTTTTAATACCTGGTAGGGCGAGGTACAAAGGTCCATTTTGACTTTGGGCAATTATATTGTAAAAACCAATCCAATTACATTACTACAAATACCTCATATCAAATAAACAACTATCTGAATTTGTTCACTAAAACTCTCAGTTATTCATCTTTGATCGTGCAGACCGTTTCATCGGTATTATTTATTGAAATCTTTGTTCAATTTTTCGTATAGCAATCGCAAATCTTTTCAGAACCTCTTTACATTTCAGGAACATTTTGTGTGCGGATACAATTTTTTGGTGACGATTTCGATAAACCGATTTGAATGATTCAGAATACATTGAATTGCTATAAATGGGGATACATGCTGATTTTTGTAAATGCAGGTCCAGCCGTTCAGAAGATGCAGGGCAAAAAGTGCATTTAGTTTTTGCGAGAATGAAACGTCCGATTTGAGTGATTTAGGAAATATTTCACTTTTCACGGAAGACAGGTCCAGTGGTTTTGAAGATCCAGAAAAAAAGTTTAAAAATAATCATTAGACATACGAATATCAAATTATCAGATATTTTATAGAGATTTTAATATGAGTACAAATTTTGTTACCGTTTCTTTGAGTCCGTACCAATGATTAATAATGCTAATTGTTTGACCGATAGGCTGCGATAAAGCGTCCGATTAGAATCTTCAAAAAGGCATTTACCTTGCATTGGTGTAAAGAAACAAGTTTTTGGGGAAGGCAAGAATGAGGAATTTCAAATCACTTTCACGTTTAAGATGGAAACATGTCCGCCCGTCACAATCAATGGGATTCAACTACCTTGGGTTGAACACAAAAAATATTTCGGGTTTTATTTGGACAGAAGACATGCATGAAAAAATCACATTATAAATAAACGATTTCACCTTAAATAAAATTACAAAAAACTATACTGGCTGTTGGGTTCCAAGTCTAAACTATCTAATATTGGACTTACGGACTTTCTCTCTCGGACTTCTCTTTGGGGTAGTCCAATTCGAACCAACATAAACATCCTACAGAGATCTCAGAACAAAATCCTTAAGAAAATACTGGAGGCATCCAACTACGTTCCTGGAAGATAGGAAAACCATCCAAATAAACTTGAGAAAAACCTACTTTCTACAAATAGAATATAATAGAAATAGAATTAGAAGAATAAACCCATTAGATTTAGCATAGTTAATTTACAATTTATATTTTTAATTATTTTCTGTATATATTTTACAAACTTAAAATACTACCAATGGGTAGCATTCTAAACTAGTTGGTATTGGTGTTTTGCCTTGAGGCAAGTTACATGAACTTCCCGATATGTGTAAATAATCGACTTAATCAATAAAATATAAATTAATTTATGAGTGATTGAAAGTATTCCGGGTGGATTTATTATACATAATTGAACACGAACGATCACGTTAACTCGGAGTATTTTCTAAAAGCAAAAAATCAACCATTTTTGTAATTGAACCAGTTTCCATTTGACTTTAATGGTTTAGTATGTTTGTTAAGATCAAGAACTCTATCGTTGTACCAAGTAAATCGCCTAATTTTAATTTTAACAATCGTCAAAAAAACTATTCTTGATGAATTTTTAAAATTAAACTTCTTGTCGTAAAGCCGTAATATTTCAGTGAGTTCTGTAAGACCATGATATATATCGCTAAAGAAAGTTCCATAAAACGGCTCGGTAGGTTTTCACCTGAAACTAATTACTATCACTCCCAACTAATGTCTTTCGAGTAGTTTTTGATTTTTCAAAATCGATTCAGTAGTATGAGCTTAAATATGGACAAAATGTTTAACACTATTTTTCAAATTGCAAAGAAACGGTTCGGCAGATCGTTGCACAAAACTGGCAAATGGTAGTCCTCATTGAGATACATCAAATGGCTTTTAAATTTCTAATATCGGTTCAGGCGTTTTTGAGAAAACGTCAATCAAAGATCTAATTTTGACAAATGCCAAAAAAACGATACTAATTTTTGCAAACTTTGACGAATTTTTAAAGCTAAACGAGTTGTCGTAGGGCTGCGATATTTTAGTATGATCTAAAAGACTATAGTATCTACCGTCAAAAAATAATAATAAAAATCGTAATTTTTTTTTTCAAAAACTTTATTACAAGAAAATGGCCCGGCTGATCTTTACCAAAAACTATTCAGCATGATTCCCAACCAATATCTTTTGAACGGTTTTTGAATTTTCGAAATCGAGAAAACATAAAATTAGCAAATAGGATTTTTTTATGAAAACATAAACTTCTCCTTCGGGAAGTTAAAAATTATTTATTATTTCAGTTATAATATTTACTGAATGCCTTCTAGGTAGTTGTAATTTGATGGAAATAAAAAAAGCTTCCAGTTGTACAAAATTTTAAGAAAATATGTGTTTAAAAATGAAAAAATATTTATATTGTGTCCTTGATAATTCCAGAATTGAACCATAATAAAAAAAAATATGACACAACAAAATTCAGTCTCCATCTGTAATCGCTTCCTGTGAAGCCTCAGCTCGAAGTCAAGGCAGTTCCGCGCACGCGGTCCGCGCACGTTCTGTCAAAAATCAGTATGAGTCCAACCGCTGTGGGGTATGGTCGCTTTGCTGATCTATCAAAACATTTGAACAGATAAACTTGATACAAATCGAACGTTTACACACGAACATTGTCAACAAAATAGCTAAAGTTTTCAACAATGGATTTCGTTCTATCATTTATCCCTTACTGAATTACAGACTAATTGAAAATTTCTGAGGAAATTCAAATTTTACCACCGCGAGTGAGTGTTAGTGTGTGCCAATATGGCGGACGTGCAACAAGAGGCTTGTCAAAACAAAACAGATGCGAATAATAAATCGTCAACCGAAAATGAAGAGGGCGGCGATTATTTCAAAAAGGGGCTCCAACGCGGACGTAAGGGGGCCCTCAAGAAGAAAAACGTTTACAACGTCAAAGACCATAAGTTTATGCCCAGATTTTTCAAGCAACCGACGTTCTGCTCGCATTGCAAGGATTTCATTTGGTAAGTAAATAAATAATTTTTTAAACACTATTTTTATAAATAAATCATTAAAATTCATTTTTTGATGTTGAACAATGCAACGTGTTTTAAAATATAAATGTCTGTTGCATAGTTTGCGCAATATTCGTGTATACACCGGATTCTGCAGGAAGGAACTGGTGGATCCGGAGGAACGAAAATGGCGCATATATGTATACTTTAGTGTGGTCCGAATTTTTTGCTTCCAGGGGCTCAAAAGCTTCCAAATTGATGAAAAGAAAATCTTTGAAAATTTTAGCGCGTAATATTAACTTTAAGATAGTCCGCACTCCAAACAAAGTTCTTGGTTCTTCTTGAGACGAAAGATGAAATATATCAAATTTTTGTTGTTCTTTTAACTTCCCGTAGGGTAAGTTATAATGATGGGTCAAAAATCGAAAATGAAATTTTCTACATATCTTTCGCGTTTCAGAGGTTTCTGAACATTTTGGCATACCTCAGAAAAAATTGATGTTTGTGTATGCATGTGTGTGTATGTGTGGAGACAATTTTTCGTCGACGATTTCGAGAACCGTCCCAATAAACTTAAAATTTAAAGAATGTTTGAATCTTTGTTTAAAAAAAATAATTTTTGGTACGGTAAGTTCCAGCAATTTGTCTGAAGGCACGAATGCACCACTAGTTAGCAAAATTTAATGAAGTACCTTTGAGTAACAAAATGACAAAATATAGACTATATATACAAAGTGGCGGTAAAAAATCAATGTTCGGGGCTCTGAAACTATGGACCTGCCTTCGGGCAGCATTTATGGTAATAATAATGATATAAAGAATAATATTTTCGACACAAAGCATGTTACGATGGCAGAAGTAAGAAATTATGAAAAAACAAATAATTTTAATTATTATAAATTCACGTCCATCTTAGATATAGAAATTGAAAATCATAAGCCATATTTTAAAGACATAATGGAGAGGTTTCCAACCTTTTTTGCACCCGGCCCCCTGCTCTAATAAAAAAAATGTTGCGCTCCACCTCAATTTTTTCAACAGTTTAATTTTATAAAAAACTCAACTGTTATTATCAGACTACAAATTAATATGATATTATGTATTATGTAAAAATATGCATAAAAACTAATTATTTTTTGTTTATTTATTTTTTTTTGATAACATTTCTAAAATGTTGAAATATTTTCGATAATAGTATTCTGTACGCGCTCCTTCTAGAACAACCTGGCGCCCCCTGAGGGGGCGAGCCCACAGGTTGGAAACCGCTGATATAATGCATTAAAATTTTTTACGTTCTTTGAAAAGAACATCGTATGTGTTCTGTAAATTTATTCTTTTTATATATTAAATCTATAGTACTTGTGAAAATAGTAATTTATTTAAATAAATAATTATTTTGGATTTTTTAAATTAATGCAATGTATTTTGTGTAAATAATCTAGTACCATGCTTATCAATAAAATTTAACTCTTTTTTCTAACTATTAAAAACTGCAGCTTACTGGTACAAACAAACTCGCTTTTAAACATAATAATAACCACAATTTTAAAAATATTGGTTAAGTTTATGTTTATTTCATGTTCGATTTTCATTAAATAGTAGTACACTTTTATTAGTTTTTTTTATTTATTTATAATTAGCAATCAGAATACAGATTCTATATGCTAATGTGTGATGTATACACAAAATAAAAATTAAATAAAGCAATTAAAAGAAACAAATAATAAAGATACAAAAATAAAGATTATAAATAAATAGAAAAATATGATTATAAGCAAATTAGGAAAAAATAAGTAGGTTAGGATTGCCTCCATTGAGTTAGTCCTAAGTGAAGAAAGACTTTTATTAGCAGTACAATTTTAATATTGGTTTGAAATTATTATCGTTTAATCCATAGATAAGGAAATGTTATATACATTTCATTCGTAATATTGACTGATTCTAAGGCAAATTGAATGAACTTTCCGATATATGTTAATAATCGAGATTCTATCAAAACCGTTCTAGTTATTTTCCTTTTTTTCCAATTTGAAACTATGTATATATTTATACGGCCTAACAGAAATAAATTACTTGCAATAGATTTCCAGCTTAATATATTTTCTAAGAATAGTCTACAAGTAAGATTCCAACACCTATAAAGTTAATCTCCTGAATGAAAACCTTACAAAGTTCTCTTACTGAACTTAATTACGAAGTTAATAGGAACAATTTTCTACTAAACTCAGAATACAATTTTAAATGGAACTTAATAGAATTAATTATCGAAGAAAGTTGTGCTTTTAAATTATATGGAAAGCATAATTTGGAAACATTGTTGAAATAAATATTGAGCTGCAATTAGGTAAACTGAAACTTTTAGAAATTTTATATTAATACAAAGTTTGACTATTATATAATTTTATGTTTCTCTGATATTTCAAGCCAGGGTATAAGAAGTAAAAAAAGTATATTGGCAGGGTATGACGGGTCACAAAAGTCCAATTTGACTTCATGGGTACATTTTTTACAAAGATAACACTGTATATAACCCTGATCGGGTATTTAGTCACTCATCAGCAGGATTGGAATAACTATTTATTTAATTTGTCTTTGTGTAATTGCTTTTTAACTTATTTACTTTTTTATTATTTACACCTTTGCCATAGTAAAGGTTCATTTGGTGCTTTTTATACCACCCACATGTTAGCTTTTATAAAGGTTATGTAATACGTAGGTTTATAATATGTATGTTCTTGATATCGGCTGGTTTCTTTCACAAAGTATAGATAAAACATATTTGTTTCATTTATTCTTGGGCATAAATGTGTATTCAATAATCTAATATAAAATCATATAATGGTGAAGAACAAATACAAATTCCTCATCCGATTCTAGGTCAATCCAAACTTTGTTAAGAATTCTTTAAGATTACACATTTCATATAAAATACGAATATTATATTTGAATTTCTGTCAGGTACATGGAGTTCTTTTTCTTTTATCGTTTCATAAATATCTTTTTGAATATCCACATTCTATTGATGCCAAAAGTAGCGAAAATATATTTGAAATATTTAATAAGAAAAAAGAAGCATGAGAAAAGTTCTGGTGGTTTATGGATTTTTGTTATATTATTTAATAAATGTCCGAAGTTAAGACTAAATATATATTCAACCTCCCGAATGAGATGTTTATGTATTTGCGTCGTTTCAAGTCATTCTGAATCTATTGACACCAAGTTTGAAAAAAGTTTGTGTGTGTGTATGTATGTATGTATGGCTAAAACAGCTGAACCGATTTTAGACATTTAAAAGCGATTTGATGAAATTTAATAAGGACTCATGTTAATATTTTTTTACAATCGACTGAGTCATTTATTCAGGATTTGCAGAAAAGTGCAAACATTTTCGTCTAAGTTTTAGCCTAAATTCTTGAATCGATTCTGAAAATTCAATAATTATTCAAAAGATATCATTGGGGCATCGTGCTGATTATATTTTGGCAATGATCGGCTAGGCCGTTTCTGCGTAATTGGTTCTTAAAATTTATTTTTTCGATGTTTTCAACAAAATTTTGTAAGGCGAAAGAGTACCTTTTCTTAATGAGCGATGGAAAATATTATTGATGAAAAAGTGATTCTAAAGCGAATTATTGGGCCGCGTTTTTGGGAAATATACTCCGTTTATGTATTAGACACGTGTTTGTTTTCACAAATGTGTAATATTTTTTTTTACGAAATTGAATAATCTACAATAGTGCCTCAGAATTTAGCTTTACGCCAACTCGGTATACTTATAAATCACCCATAAGTTAATATATTGATTTTTTATGATTAGTTGATTATTTATCCATGTCGGAAAGTTCATATAACTTGTCTTAAGGCAAAATCCCACTAGGATTCAGTTAGAACCAAAGCATATTTAAACCTAATTGTATTAGTCTTATTTTTGTTTGAAAATATATTTCTCAAATGCTTTGGAAAACTTTAGATTTATGTGTAAACTGTAGTACGTGCGTACGTGTTAAAATAGTAAATAAAAATAGTAATCGGCTATAAATCTTTAATCTCCAAGTTTATAAATTCTCTGTTTACAATGGTAAATAATTTATTTTGAGACAACATATTGGATGAAGTTGAAACTAATACTTTCCTTCAGACAATAATATTAACTATTGTATGATTTAGGATGTATGGTAAATTTTATAATTTTCCTATCTTGATATAATTTTTATTATTATTATTTATTTATTAACTGGCCTCGACTATATATATATTTTAAAATATGTCTAACTATTGAGTATGCACACTTCTTATTTTTCTTAATTTATATGTATATTTGTATAATTGTTATATCCAGAATAAAATCATCTAAAAATAACAAATCGACAATGGATGTACTCGTATACACATGTAGTCAAGTGTCGTCCATGGAGGACATTCGCTGCAGAAGGATTAATAATGATGATGAGTTTTATGTGATGATCCGCCGAGATATTTTTTTAATTAAAATTATTATAAAATGTATGAATCACTCTAAAATTTCAAACTAGTGACGTGTGGCTTTGTGCCTTAAGGCAAAATGCTAGAATTTCCCGTACAAGTAATCTCAAAAAACTCGATTTCTATTTTCTTCACTCTTTGCTCCGTATCTCCGAAACGTCTGACTTGCCTTGCGAAAAACTAATCAGCACATCTCTATCAATAGAATCGAATGTTTAATAAAATTCATGAACTCCAAAATAGTTAATGATGTGATCGAAAACTATAAAATACATACTACACACACACATCCATTTTTCTGAGGCCAAAATGTTCAGAAATCTTCAAAACGTAAAGGTATTGAAAAAATTTCAATTTCGATTTTTGAACGATTACAATAACTTACCTTGCGGGATGTTAAAAAAGACAGAATTTAATTATAGTTAATATTTTCATCATCTCATTTTTCATTTTTTTATATTAGTTATCCATTTTTCAGCAGATTTAAGAATTCAAAATGTTTGAAAAGATATCAATTCGTCAAAATT